TATTTTCTTTAAGATGTAAATTGACAATTTTTATTCAATATAATAAAGTTTATCAGTCTTTTTCAGTTCACAGTTTTATGCTTGTTTAAAGTTTAAAAATCTTTATATGTTTCACTTAGTATTTGAAAGCTTTGTTTTGATCAGTTAGGTCTTTGTATTAGACTGTTTTGCATTACTATAACAAAATGTCTGAGTATAACTTCATTAGTAAAAGGGTTTCTTTTGGATCATGGTTCTTGATGTCCAATGTTGAGGGGCTACATGGGGGAGGGTGGCCTTTCTGCTGGCAGAGTCCTGGTGTAGCAAAGGGCATCACACAGAAAGACACAGGGAGTATGTGTCTTTTTATATAGCCACCAATATTCAGTCACAGAAGCTCCACCCTAATGACCTCACCTAATCCTATCACTTCCCAAGGGCCTCTCATCTGAACATCACAGTCAGAGAGAGCTACCACTCTCTCAATATCTCACAGTGGGGATTCAGTTTAGATACATGAACCCATTGAGGGACCCATCAAACCCTATACAAACCATAGCAAAGTCTTAAATCCACCTGGAGTTGATTTTTTTTAAAACAATTAATTATGAAATGACTTGGAACTTAAAAAAATTCCAAAACAATACAAAGAATTCAAGTGCCCCTTCCCTTAGAGATTCCCCAGCTATTAACCTTTGACTGTTTGTTCCATTGTTGTCTATTTATTTATCACCAGTATAACTATTCCTTTTCTGAATCCTTTAAAGCAAGCAACAGATGTTTCATCATCCCTAAATACTCCAATATGTATCACTCCCAAACAAAGACACAGTCCTGTATAATTAGCATGCAGCCCTCCACTCGGATACAGATACTGGTACAAAACTACTGCCTAATTCACAGACCTCATGCAAGGTTTTCCAACTGTCACAACAATCTCTCTGCCCATTCTGCTCCTGGACCTGTGTGGGAATACAGGTCACATATAGTTGCTAAATTCTCTTCATACTGTTTCAGTGTGAGTAGGGACTACAGAAATGTTCACTTTGTGATAAATCCACAGGCTGTACATCCTAACCTTGTACATTATTCTATGTGTATGTTCCATTAAAAAATGTTTATTTTTAAGAAGAAAGCCAATTCCTCACATACATTTGAAACACAGCATTTGCTTCAAGAATTCAAATTTCTATGTTAAAATCAGGTTTCTTCAATCAACCATAATCAAGCCTAGATATTTCAACTCATTTTGGAGACTCATGACTAACGAGTGAAAAATATCACTTTATCAAGTAGCACATGCAAAGGTACATACAGGCCTTCCAAAGTGGATTTTTAATGTGATCCTTACCAATATATTTCCATAAAAATTTCACTCCCTTCTTAATTTAGATGATTGCTAAAATATAACATAGTTTTCTCAACTGGAAAAGCTATACACATTTACATTCATATTTTGATTAAAGATTTTAATTGAAGGTTAAAAAATGAGCAACTGAATTTTTGAGGGAGACATATTGCTAGACCAATCTATTCTAATATTGCAGAGGATTTTTTCTGACCCAGAAGACAGAGATGGAATTTCCTAGTGGCCCTGGCAATTGCAAATAAGTTCAAGGTGATATCTTTGAGATGGCAGTTTCTGGGAAGTCTCTTTGTGATGGATTGATGAATCAACCGGAAGATCCCCGGTGGAAGACAAGGTCATTGAAGGCAAATGAATTGAGGAATCAACCATATACTTACTTCTCAGCCAAACTGGGGCTGGTAAAAACCTGAACTGGAGAAAGGAAATTTAGTGCCAACCAGGCTTACAATTAAGCATGGTCTCTTCCTAGTAGCTTTAAAGATAAAGAGTTTTGCATATGTATGCCTTAATTATGCAGACCTACTTTAGGGGGTTCAGTTCAACATGCAGGACCAAATAGCACCAAAGTTTGCTTTTTCTTTGTTGAACAATATATCCATCCACCTAGAAAAGCTCTGGTTCGCGAAATTTCGAAGTTGAAAACAGCCTATGAGATTGCATCAATAGTCCTGTCTTCGTTTCTTTTCAGATTAGGTAACTGCAGCCCTGAGAAGTGTGGGAGACACCAAAGGTCATCTGAATCTTGACTACGACCCGAGTTTCTCTGTCCTTCACTGGTCTCTGAAATGTGTCTCTCACCTCAAATGTGATATGGGATGAGCTTTTCAAATTGATAAGAGTCCATGTTCTCCATGGCCATCTTTAACTAGGGCTGTTACCCCACTGCTTCCAAATAGCCAGCATGAGTTGGCAACCAGGGATTGCTTTAAGCTTTAAAGAAGTCGAAAGAACCAAGTCTGCATGGAGCCTCCACTGCTAACAAAAACACCGTTAGCTTCTGCTTTCAATTATTCATCCCCCAAACCCTTGATGGACAGTACTAACTCTGCTGGCCTCTCACTCCATCACTTTTACGAAGACCCATATCAGCAAGGGGAGGCTAGGATGCAGAGGAGGTAAGTCAGGAGGGAAAAGCCAGCACAGCGGCGGCGGGGAGCCGTGGCCCCAGCTGCACTACAGAGGACCCTCACACACACCCCGCCCCAGGTGTGCGGGGAACCGTGCGCAAGCGCGGGTCACCTCGGGCGGCAGTTCTCCAGCACCCTGCTTCTCTCAGCTTTACTTAGCTTTTCATCGCTGCTTCCTCCCACACCCCTAAAGACTTTCAAGTTCAGGGTAACAGAGATGGGCCAGGGAGAATCGCGGGGCATCCTCAGAAAACGTTTTGGAAGATCCCGGTGGAAGACAAGGTCATTGAAGGCAAAAAAAAAAAAAAAAAAAAAAAAAAAAACTTAAGCTGCCCCAAGTCAGCTCTGTAAAGGTCTGAGTACGTTGGGGGAGACTCAGCTCCCAGCCCACGAGGGAAAAGCAGAGCGGGCCAGGAGCGCCAGACCCCGACGGGAGGGGCAGAAGCAGAGGCGGGGCGGGGCTGCGAAACCCCTGGAGGCCCCACCCCCCGGGCCAACCTCCCGCTCTGCCATTGGAGGAAGTCTGGGGCGGGTCCGAGGGACGCCCCCCTCTCGCCACCAGTCCGCGGCCCGCCCCTTACACGCCCATTTTTTAAATTTATTTATTTATTTTTTTCCAGCTCTTCCCGGAGCCTTGGAGCAAGCAGGGAAAGGAAACACCGGTGCCACCACGGCGCCCTGGGACGCCGGAAAGGCGAGCCCCCCTGCCGCCCCGCCCGCCGGCCGGTGACATCAGTAGGGGCGGGGCAATGTATCTCCGCGGCTCCACCCCCAGGGCCTGGGCTGCTACCTAGGGGTCTGTGGTTTTCCCCGCACGCGGGAAGCCGCCAACCAGAGCAGGCGCTCCGCTGAACCAAGTGCTGCAATCAGAATCCCTGCGGCTCTCGCGTCAGCCCCTCACCCTTCACAGCCTGTCCCACCGCCCCCCTCTCCTTATTTTGCACCTTTCTCTCCCTTTCTCTGTCTGTGCATCTCCAAATGACTGTGTATGGGGAAGCCAAGATGGGCATGCAAGTGGCACACTGACTGGAGAGACAAATTTCATGCCATATCCCCTTAATTCGTTTGCATTTCTACCTTATTTCATAGCTTGACATTCTCTCATATGCAAAATGTGGGGGAATCGTTTTCTCCCCGCCCCCCGCCCCAGGCTTAAGGGAAAAGTTATTCGATGCCTTCTGTAGTATTTCATCAAAGAAATTAGAATTTTAAGCTTTGGTGAAGGAATTGGGAGTGGGAGACAGCGCAGAAAAAGAAGTAAAAAGAAACCCAAAGCTTAACAGCGTTTAGAAAGGAAATAACTATTTTTCATCCTCGACTGAGTGTGTCTTCTGCAGCATTTTGCACAAATGCAACTGCAGAACCATTTCGTTGCAGATTAAGTAGGCTGCGTCTACACAGGGTCTGTGCGGGATCTTCAAAAGACAGTGCAGGTGTATACGGGTCCGGGTGTGCGTGTGCGTACGTGATGTACGTGTGTGCGTGTGTGTACGTGTGAGTGGGACCCAACCCCAAGAAACGCATCAAGATCAGAAACAGGAATGCACACTAGCGCTTGCCTTGGAAATTTCCTAAAGCGCTTAGAGTTTGTAAATCACTAGTATCCGAAAAATTGTCAGCAGAGGCTCTTTCCCGGTGTCCTGCCTCCCCCCCAAATATAGGTGTCCGCGGTATCTTGTGAAGCAGCCTTTTGCCCAGGGGGGGTCTTGTGAGTGGTGAAATCCAGAGGGCACGCTGTGTATATTTCGGGGGTCCCACGTGTGCGGCCCAAACCCCTGGGGCCTGGGCGTGTGCGCGCGCGCGCTCGCGTGTAGTGTGTGTGGGCGCATGTGTGTGAGTGTATGCTCGTGCCGGGGGCCGAGCTGTGTGCTCACGCGCTCCAAGCTGCGCCCAGAGCTCAGCTGCAGGGTTGGAGAAAAAAGAGGGTAGGCAAGTGCAAGGGGGCGGGAGGCCAACTGGGGGCTTTTGAATTGATAGAGTTGGCTTAGCCGCTTTTCCCTCTCCGGCTTGAGCTCCTTTAAACCTCGCTGCTGCTTCGTAGGAAGGGGGCTGGATTCACTGTAGCTGCTGCAGGAGGGGGAGCAGGTTGAAACAATCGAGTGGGCGCGCCAGGACTCCCCGGCTCCAGGCGGGGAGGGGAGAGGGAGCCCCCATTCTGCGCAGGGAGGGGGCGGGGTTGGAGGGGCCCAGCAAACCAGGAGGAGGCGGGGGCGGTCGCTGGGATGGGGGAAGCGGTCACCCCCAGGAGACAAGATTTCGTTCGGATCGCACATTAATTGGAGATATCTGATTAATTTGAGCTTCTGATGACTATAAATGGCGATTCTCTACCAAGGTGTCTATATTAAAAAAAAAAAAAATCGTTCCGTGTCATCCCCCACGTCAGGCCTGCTCGTGGGCGTGAGGCTGTACTTCCTCCGCCCCCTCCTAATGGAGTGAACCATTCCCAGCTCTTCCTCCCCCTTTCCCTCTCTCTCTCTCTCTCTCTCTCTCTCTCTCTCTCTCTCTCTCTCTCTCTCTCTCTCTTCTCTCTCCCTCTCTCTCTCCCTCTCCCACCTCTCTCTCTTTCGGTCTCTTCCTCGCTCCCTCTCTTTCTCTCCTCCCTCTGCCTTCCCCGTGCATAAAGTCTCGGTCGCTCCCGGAACTTGTTGGCAATGCCTATTTTCCAGCTTTCCCCCGCGTTCTCTAAACTAACTATTTAAAGGTCTGCGGTCGCAAATGGTTTGACTAAACGTAGGATGGGACTTAAGTTGAACGGCAGATACATTTCACTGATCCTCGCGGTGCAAATAGGTAAGTGGCCGCCCGGACCGTCCGGCTCTCTCAGCGGGCGGCCGGAGACAACCAGTCCCGGCCAGAGGGGCGGACGCGCGGACCGGCTGGCCCTGCAGCCACCCCGGGGTGCAGAGAAACCTGCAAAACCCCGAGGGGGTGGTGTTGGCTCCCGAGGACTTGGGCGTCCCGGGTTGAATTTTTCTAAAGAAAAAGATACTCCAAACGTTCTCCAGGAAAATTGTGCGGCTGGTCGGCCGGTGGTTTTTCCAGAGGAGGTCCACCGTCCCCCTCGCCGTTTTCCTCCAAAGCGCCCATCCATGTTTGCTTTCCTATCTGGGGCTAGACCCGGTTCGGTGCGCTCTGGGGCAATGCATCGGCCCCTGCGATACTGCAAGATACTATTTTTGAAGGGTCGAAAGGTGAATTCAGGAAAAAAGATGGCTAGCCAGATAGGGCTGGAAAGTTTTATGTGCAGAAAGCGAAGATATTCCAGGGCTCCGCTCAAACTGCTGCATTTAGAACTTTGTCATTCTCCCGCCCCCTCCCCCCATATCCTAGCTGCAGCATTTACACTGGGCACCGCAGACTCGGTTCAGAAGCAAATCGAGAAGGACCAGGAACTCTAGATTACATATTTTATTATGCTTACCATTGAGGAGGGTAAACTGAGCCAAATATACGTGATATACTTTTTGAGACACGTTTGCCTGTTACTTTATCCAACACTGTCTGCATTTTGTACATAGGAAATGGTTAAGAAGTGTTTGCAATATGTCATGTCGGGTGTTTGTTATTTTTGTTTGTTTGGGGTTGATTGTGGACGGATTTATTGAGTCACCATTTTATGTTAAGGAATGTTGAGTTGGTAGTTACACTGTCATGGGGCTTTTTAAAGTTTACATTTTTTTTCCATCCAGAATGCAGAAAACATTATGGGAGCAGGCATTAGAAAAATTCCTTTTTGATGCCGGTTCAGAACATTAATTAACATGGCCTAAAAGTGAAAGTGAAGCAGGTTATTAATAGAATGGACAAGAGAAAAAATAGAAACTCTTCAAACGGGTTTTTTTGGAGATGGAGGGAATTGTTATCTCCTATGAATTCAGGGTGTAGCATTCTTCTTTGCAGACAAATCCTTGCAGTATTTTGGTGGGGGCTGCTTTAGGGAATTGGTTTGGGGAAAGAGAAAGAATACAAAACAATTTTTCTGTATGAGAAATGTGGAGGACACAGAATTTGGGGTTCTCTGGACATTAAAATTGATTCTTTGCAATGGGATTTTATGCACCTAACATGATTTTGAGAGATCTGGTTGTTTGTTTTGTTTTGTTTTTTCCCCCAAGAACATTATAGGATGTTAGTGTGTGTGTGCATGCAGGATGTTGCTGTTTTCCTTTAATTCTAAGGAATGACTTAATGCTTCCAGTCTGGTTGATTTGAATGTTTGACATTAGTTCAAAGAGCTGCAATAAATAAAGAACATTTCTAAAGGCAGCAAATCCCTTAAATGTTGCAAATAACTGTATGTGGCATTTTGCAATTAGCTGGAGAATTTTTAGGGAATAGGAGAGGTAATTGTTTTTGAGACAGGGGTTTTAATCCAAGAAGGTTTGTGCTGTTTTCTCAGTGGGAAATAACCTTACTTTGAGGATTTAAAAAAAAATTTAAAAAGCAGTTGTGCATGAGGGATGTGTTTTGAACACATGACCCTCAGACTGAAAATGACCGCTTGTTGGCTTTGGAGTTGAAATTGAACGTATTTTTTTCCCCTAATGTCTGCCCTTTCCTGCACCAGAGCCTCAGTCTTTATTAATTCATGCCTGGGAGCTGTCCCAAATCACTGACATTTGGCAAGAAAAGTGGGGGTTGGGGAGGGGCGGAGAAGAGGAGAGAGTGGTGAACGAATGAAGATGCGGTGGGAGGAAGTTTGGAATGAATGAGAGGTCGAACGAATGAATGAACGAATGGAAACCGCACAAGACAGGGACGCAAAGGAGGACAGAGAAGGAGCCCGAGTCGCCTGCCCAAACTTGCAGAAACCGGGTTCAGAAAGGACTGCAAGGGACACGGGCTTCGACCTACTAGGGTCGCGTGCACCTGCAAAATCTGTCCCATGCACAGGCTCTGGCCTCCTGGTGCTGGCTAGAGCCCAAGGAGTCAAAGTTGCAAAATACAGAAAATTTCACGACTTCTTATTTTACACACGCACACACTCACACATGCGCGGTTTGCAGGGTCTTCTCTATAGCAGCGCCTAGAAAGATAACGTGACAGAACGCTTCCCGCCCCCAGCGAGCCCCAATTCCCGTTTTAAAAATTGTCAGTGTGTCTTAGGGGCCTCTTTTTCGACACCGAATTTTTAGGGGTGGAGGTAAGGGGTGAGGAGAGACCTGGGACAGAGGGGGAGGGTGGTCTGTATTTTGTTTCTTCGCTGCAGCGCTGTGCGTAACGTAGTAGAGGATGATGCATAGGGTTGATTCCACTTTGAGTTTTATTATCACAAATATTCATTTGTTCATGAGATACTGTCAGTGTTCCATTTGCTATTATTGTAGTCGCAAGGAAGGGCATTTAATTTTTGTGGAGGTTTCTGAAGGTTTACGCATCTGCCCCAGCTGAGGTCGAAGTTAACCCTGGTCCCTTCCCCAGCATTTCCCGTTCCGGATTATAAAACGCAAGACCCGCCTCGCTCTTCCTGCAGCAATTTGTACACCGTGAGCTCTCCGAGGTTGCTGCGGGTTCGATCACCTTCCCCCTGGTCTGCGTCTGGCCTAGCGCTCGGGGACAAGAGGATGCGTGGGGGAGTGTGTGCGCGGGGGGGAGAGGTGCACGGTCCTCCCGGGACACATTCACACGCGAGCGGCAGCGGCCAGGACACTGCGGAGGAGGCTTGCGCACCGAATCCTGGGAGCTAGAGGCCGAGTCTAAGAGCCACCCTACATTCTCCCCGCCCCAACCGCGCAGATTTGGGCTTCTCTAGCGCTTTCCTGGAGCCCCAAGTGCTATTGGCCGCTAGGGATCCAGTCTCGGGCTGGTTTCGTTGGCCTTAGGGTGGAAAGAAATGGCCACCGCAGCGCCCACAGGCCTGGAGCCTGTTTCTGGTCCGGAGCCTCAGGGTTTGGTGGACTTGAGTCTAGGAGCAAGGAACTCTGTGCCGCCCGGGTTTTCTCCTCCTTTTCTCCAGCCGCCCCATCTTGCATCCCGTCTCCCCCCCCCCCCCCGACGCAACCTGGAGCTAGAGGCCGCGAGTCCCAGGCGGCCGCGAGCCGGGGGTTCAGCAGCCTGTCTGGGACCTGGAGAGGAAAGGTCTAATTCCGCTGCTGTCCGGAGTGGTGGCGGGCCTTTCCTGGGATGTTAAGGGTGTGGGGGGAGGTAAGTGGCAGACAGAAGCGGTGGAAGGAAGCAGGGAACCCGAGATAGTGTAGGTGACCTGGGGCCACCCGCTCAGACACATCCGTTCCCCCGGCCTGGCCTGTGGCCCTGACTGCCGGGACAAATCAATCCCATTTGGGTCTTGGGAAATGTAAACTGCCTTTTTCTGTGGGGCAAAAGCGAGTGCATCCAAGGGTCTCTCGCGGAACAGATTCCACGGTTTTATAATGAAACAATCCATTTCGGTGACCTCCAGTGGCTTCCAGAGACTTTATTCATCCATTCATTCTGAGCACCCACCGAGGACCGGGCGCCCAAGGGCTACTGGCGCGAGATGGCCTTGGTTCCGATGCTTGCCCCCCGCCTGTCAGCGTTCCTAGGCTAGCCTCGCCCCTGCACTCTGTTGTCCAGACCCCCTCTCTGTCCTCAGAAATGGAAGATTACATTGCCAGAGACGTGACAGGGCTTGCTGGGGGAGTGCTGGGAGACGAAGGAGGGAGTGAGGAGACAGAGAAATAAAAGAGATGAGGGAGGTGAGAAAAGGGGGGCGACAGAAACAGAAAAAGATACAGAGCGCGATTCAGGAGGAGCTGGAAGGAATGGACTTTCCTCTCTCCCACTCAACCCACATCCATTCACACACAGACGGTGTGCACCAGAGTCGTGTTGGGTGGATATCGGCCATCCCCAGGCCAAGTCTTTCGATCACCTTTGACATCGGTGCTCCCCGAGGCTGGGCAGTGAGAGACACAGCTCCATGGGGCAAGGCAGCAAGAAGTCGGGGACTCCCGGGCGGGCCTTGGGGCATCAGGGCAGGGTCAAGGCGCTGCTGACCGGTGTACCCTCCTCCCCGCAGCGTACCTGGTGCAGGCCGTGAGAGCAGCGGGCAAGTGCGATGCGGTCTTTAAGGGCTTTTCGGACTGTTTGCTCAAGCTGGGCGACAGTATGGCCAACTACCCGCAGGGCTTGGACGACAAGACGAACATCAAGACCGTGTGCACGTAAGTGTCCTCTCTGGTCCGCTGGGGTTCTCTTCTGGGGGCGCTGCTGAGGTCAGAGTGCCGCGCCTCCCCGCCTGTGCTCAGCGTACAGAGCCAGAGTAAATCTGAGCACTCCCGCCTTCTGGCTTTCACCCCCAGGCCAAGGCCTACGGACAAGCCCTCTGGTCCCTAGGCCCAGTCCTCTGGTTTAGGAAACTCCATAGCCTGGGGTGGACTACAGAGAAAGAACTCCCACCCGCGGCCTGATCCCAGCGCCCAGCAGCCTCACGGGCTCATAGGAGGTGCCTGCACCCAATCCACCTGAGAGAAGGCCTGGGGCAAGGAACCCTGCTACCAGTTCCTCCGAAGAATCTTTGCTTTGAGGCAAACCTTAATTCTTATCTCTCTCAAGGATAAGTGACCTGCTGAATACCCTGAACAGTTGGTTTGGGTTTGAGGACCTTTTGGGGGTGATTCTAGATTTACCTAGAGGCTATAGTCACTGGCCTGTTATCTCCACTTTCAGTGATATATGGCCCTTTCAAAACACACCAAGAAAATGCAGGGCAAGCAAGGAGGCCCAGGATTCCAGTTTCTGGGAGAAGGGCTGAAATAATATTTTATTGTGTAGCAATGACTGCCCAAGAGGAGAATGTCTGGGCTGTCTGGTGACTGTGCTGAGTTTGTAGTCCTTTCCTAAATTAGAGGTAGCCATCCTCCATGCTTTTCCCACCCCTTCCCCTATCTGCACTGTCTCCTCAGATTGCCACAGGCCCAAAGGAAGGGGAGAGAGACTTCATGGCCAGGCCCAGCGGTGTTTTGTCAGAGATTAGCTAGAAAGTCTGCTCCCACTAGCAAATGAGGTAACCAGCACAGCACTACTGCAGCGGACCTGGGACATTTTAACTGCTGCGGACCTTAGAAATTTCCCCAACCTCTGCAACAGACACTGCCTTTATTTTTTTTCAAAAACAGCTGCTTTCTGCCATCTCTATAATGACCCTTCTGATAAAGTCAAGGCAAGAGGTATCCCTTATTCCCAGACGTTGAAATGACCATTTTCCAGGCTTTTCTTTTTATACTGTGAAGAAGTCTTCTCTCCCTAACTGGGAAGAGTTTATTTCAATTACAACTGAATGGAGGTCAATCCTGCTACATACTTCCCTGAATACCCTCTTACCCACCTGGAGCCAAGCAGCTAAGTGGCTGATACCTTCTTATCAGAGTAGGAACAAATGCATTTAATTCCAAATGTCTGGTTAAAAGTAAGAATGTATCTCCTAAGGCATGCCAAGGTTACATATAAAGGAATTACCAAAGCCTCTGCCATTTTCTGGAACTTTCAAGCTATTTAAATATTTTAGCAGGACTTTGGTCCTGGAAAACCTGGAGTGAGGAGGGCCCCTCCCTGAGGTTGCAGGCCATAGTTGGGCCCAGGCCTCTTTCGCTTGGTGGTGCTAATTGTTCAACAGGATAAAGTGCACCTCTCCCAGCCCCCAAGTGAATTTTTTTTTTCTCTAGTGTGTCCCTCTTCTAGGAAAGCCCTATCCCCATCTTGGGGTACATAAAGAAAGCAGTAATTTAGAAATCCTTTGGGAGGTGCAATTACACAGGAGCTCTGCAGGAGAGCTGTCCCTGGGCTTCTTGGTGTGCCAGAATCTTGCTATTTATTACAATCCTGAAAGTCCTACACCCTGCCCTCCTTAGTCCTCATAAACTAGAGACTCAACAGGGGTCATGAGAAGACAATCTGAACCAAGGCAACCCAACAAACATTTATAACTTCCCTATTAGCCAGAAGATGGGGTGGGAGTGCAAATAAGGATAAATCAAACACTATGGTTGCCTTCAACATGCTTACAGTCCAGGCGGGCAACAGAAGAGGGACAGAGGAGCACTTATAACCAAACCGCCTGGAGGGCTGCTGCTGTTTTCTCTGACTCCCAGGGCCAGGGTGAAGTGGGAGCCAGGCTGGAGTTACCGAGACGCACAGATCGACCCAGCTCGGAAAGGAGACAGCGCCCCAGGAATCGATCACGGCTTGGGGTTATATTTAGTTTCGGGATCTATTTTGGGTTTTCAGAAGAAAGGGGGACAATAAAAAAAAAGAAAAAGAAAAAGAAAAAGAAAGAAAGACAGGTTGGATGAAGGTTGTGGGGGCGGGGCTAGGAGCTCAGCCCAGCCTGGGAGGAGGAAGTGCTGTTAAAAGCTCTGCTGCGAGAAATGACCGGAAGGGGAGGACGAAGAGCCGGGTCCTAGAAGGCTGGCAACGGTGGGCATCGTTACACCCCGAAGGCGGTGGGGGAGAGGACCTCTGGGGTCTAAGCCCACCTGAAAGACTGGAAGAGGAAGCATCCAGCGCGCAGGCCTGGGGCGCAGGGGTTGCCAAAGCGGGAGAAGGCCCTGGAGCAGGCGCCAGGTGCCCGGGCACCACCACTCACCGACCTGGGCAGGGCAGAGGCAGGCAGGAGTCTCTGGATGGAATCTGAGCCGCGGGACTGTGGAGGGCAAGGCGGGAGGGCCTCGGAGGGCCGAAGCAAATGGAGAGGCAGAGAAAGAGGAAGTAGGGGGACCTAAGAGAAGAAAAACGGAGGGAAGGGGAAACCGAAGAGAGGGAAAATGAGGAGAAACGGGAAACAAAAGGCGGAGGTGGGGGTGGGAGTGGGAGAGATGGAGGGCGAGGGCGAGAGTACCGCAGCGAGGAGGAGGGAGACAGAAGGGGCGAGGGGGAGGAGAATGTGAGAAGCCAAGAGGGGAGGGCCGTACCCGAGCAAGTAACCCATCTTGCAAGCTAAGAGGCATTAATGGGCGGCAGCTTGCAGGGCTTAGCACTGTTTTCCCAGCCTTCCCCAAGGAGGGCGAGCAATCTGTTTGCGAAGGCCGAGGTGTGCCAGCGCAGTTGCAGCGGGTGCAACCCGGCTGCCGAATCCGCCACAGGCGAGCTAGAGGGGGAGCCACCTAGGTGAAGGGGCGCCCGAGCCGCTCTGACAGCGCTTCTGGCGTGGGCCAAGGTCCGACGACGAGTCGCGACCTGGCGCAGCCCTAGAGCCAGGGCTGCCGAGAGCAGGTAGGAAGGGGCGCGCCCTGGCAGATGGGCGAGGAGGCCGTGAGAGGGGGAGTCTCCGGGGCGCAGGTCCAGGGTTCTCTCCGCGCCCCAAATGATCCTGCTTCTTCTGTTTTGTTCTGTTCCTCGCCAGATACTGGGAGGATTTCCACAGCTGCACGGTCACAGCCCTTACGGATTGCCAGGAAGGGGCGAAAGATATGTGGGATAAACTGAGAAAAGAATCCAAAAACCTCAACATCCAAGGCAGCTTATTCGAACTCTGCGGCAGCGGCAACGGGGCGGCGGGGCCCCTGCTCCCGACGCTCCCAGTTCTCCTGGTGTCTCTCTCGGCAGCTTTAGCGACCTGGCTTTCCTTCTAAGCGCGGGGCCACCTCCCCTCCGCGCCCACCCACACTCACTCCATGCTCCCGGAAATCGAGAGGAAGATCCATTCGTTCTTTGGGGACGTTGTGATTCTCTGTGATGCTGAAAAAAAAAAAAAAAAAACACTCATAATAGGATTGTGGGAAATCCTGATTCTCTCTTTTTTTTTTAAATTTCGTTTGATTTCTTGTGTTTTAATTTGCCAAATGTTACCAATCAGTGAGCGAGCAAGCACAGCCAAAATCGGACCTCAGCTTTAGTCCGTCTTCACACAAAAAATATGAAAACGGCAACTCACCCCCATTTTTTTTTAATTTTTAATTTTTTTGGCAAAAGAATCTCAGGAACGGCCCTGGGCCACCTACTATATTAATCATGTTAATCACATGAAAAATGATGGGCTCCTCCTAATAGGAAAGCGAGGAGAGGAGAAGGCCAGGGGAATGAATTCAAGAGAGATGTCCACGTGGGAAGCATATGGTGAATAATTCACGCTCACGTCTTTCTTCCACAATATCTTGTTTTGATCATTTCCACTGCACATTTCTCCTCCAGAAAGCAAAATGACAGATTATTGGCTTTAGGGTTTTATGGGTAGGAGGGAGAGAGGAAGGGGTTTGGCAACTCTGGCATCATGGTAAAAGGTCTCAGAAGCAATGCTGCTAAGGTCACTGAGGGGTTAGCTTTACCTGCTGTTGTTGATGCATCTTTCAAATCCACTGCCTTTATTTTCCCTCCTCTCTCGTTTCAGCTGTTACACATACAGTAATACCTGAATATCCAGTGGTATAGATCACAAGGGGGGGGGATGTTAAATGTTAATCTAAAATATAGTTAAAAAAAGATTTTGACATAAAAGAGCCTTGATTTTAAAAAAAAGAGAGAGATGTAATTTAAAAAAGTTTATTATAAATTAAATTCAGCAAAAAAAGATTTGCTACAAAGTATAGAGAAGTATAAAATAAAAAGTTATTGTTTGAAATGGGGGTGTCGCTTTGTTTCCTACTCGGAGCCTGTTTCCTCCACCAAGTTCTCTGGGTACCTCAAGGGACATAGAACGCCGGGTGATCAGGGTGATCAATTAATTCACGTGTTCACAAAGTCACTGGATAACCTGAAGTCTTCAAGCAGATGCTCCTTAGCTAGGACTCCTTGCCACGACCCCCAAATTCCTCATTCTTGAAAGGGGGGAAGGGAAAATGTTTTAAAATGTATTCATTCAAAAGCAGAGGTCCCTTCTAGGTGCGGAGTGGAGAAACTGGGCTTGCGCGTCCGGGGAAAAGGCACTGGCAGACGCAATGCCGAGTGGCCAGCCAGCTGCCCCCACCTCAGGTGGGTCTGAGCCCTAACCACGATCCTTCCAGGCCGGTCCCTAACCACGATTCGCCTCTTCCTCTGCGGTGGCCAGAGGCAGCTTGCGAAGGAACCGCCATTAAGGGTTCCAGCCGAGGGGCAGAGACTGTTCCCTGGCAGGGATCAGGTGAATCCTTTCATAATTAATAAGACAGCTCAGCTGAAATGGCGAGGAGACGGGGCCCTATTGATCTGGCAGTCGAGCTGCTTCCACTTTTTCCTATTTATAGGCCCCGCATGGCCTCACGAAGAAGTAAACATTCCAGAGTAAACAAGAAAGGAGGAGACCCAGATCTGGGGTCCGCGCGGGCAGAGGGTAGGTTGGGGGAGGGTCAACTGCGCGCAGGTCTCTGCGTTCAATGAAATCGAAATCTGATTTCTTGATGAAAGTAGAGGGGAGAGGGGGCTGCGTGGGGCGGGGGCTGGGGGCGTGTAGGGAAGGGAGGAGGATGAAGGGAGAGCTTGAAGGCTCAGCAGGTTCCCGCCCGGCGGAGCCCGCAGCCCGCCGCAGGGAGGGTGAGCCTGGGCTCTGAAATGCAATGTGTAAACAATCGCTAGTGTAACAGTTCATAAATCAAACCCAGTGGGTCGCAGCCCAATCTGCATTCCCCCCACGATTGAATTCCAGCAACACATGCGTCCCTGCGCCCCGAGCAATGCAAGCTGCACGGATTCTTAATGGCAGCATCTATTATGGCCTCGCGTTCACGCACGCGCTGCGCGGGGGCCACTCCCGGGAATAGTTGTACGCGCTACCCCTCTGCCAGCTCCCTCCTGGGTCGATTCCCTGTTCTTAGGCAAAACCAAAGGAGATCCTCTGCGCTGCCGCCTGCGTGGAGCAGTCACTCAACCCCAAAGGCTCCTTGTTTTGGAAAACAGTTGGGTTTTGTTTGTTTCGTTTCAATGTTATTTTTGGTCTGTATAGAAACAGAATCATACTAACCCGAGTTCAACCCCTGGAATTCAAATTAAGTTGTCGGGAGCCTGTTTTAAATATGAATCTATCCAACGAGGGGGAGGGAAAAGGGGGAGAAAGAAGGAAAGTCTTCTCTGATCCTTTTTTGCCATAATAGTTTTGTTTTCTATTTGCAAATCGTTATCTTTTCCTGGGCAACCTGTGCGCACAACTGAGCCCCTTGCTTGCTGAAATAAACGGTTTTGTGGGGAAGTGAGAGATGGGTGACTCGAGGAGACGCCCATCCTCTCGCAGAAAGCTTCCCACCTAGAAATCAATTTCCTAGAAGAGCTGGAGAAAGCCAGACTGATGGAGGGACAGAAGGTACCACGGGGAGGGGGGATGCGAGCTAGGGCGGCTCCTTTGCTCTCCCAACAGGGGTGTTCCCCAGGTTGGATGCCCTAGAAGAAGAGCGCTCCAATGCCGAGTTCTTCCACGCCCCCAGCCCACCCATCCCAGAGGGTCCGAGGAACCTCAAAAGCTTAGTGCCCTGTTTGGGGGCTGCCCTGCTCTGTTCAAGGCCCACGCTCACGTGAGCGCTTGGAGAGAGCTCCAGGAATGCAGGGCGTGTCTCAAAAGCACAAGCTTCTGTGTCTGGTTCGTTAGAGAAAGTTCCTTCTCTTGGTGATTGTTGAGATTATTATCGTGCCGTCTTCGACTGTAATTTGCTGTTTAATCATGATGACATCTCCATATGCTAGTTGACGTTATTGTTTTTAGGCAGCAACATGGTAAGCTTTGTTGCCAGTTCTGGGAGGTGATACTAACCAGATATGTCCCATCTTGGAGTTGGGCTGGGAAGTGGGCGTCCAGCCCAGAGGGCCTCCTCACACCAACCTGCGCCTGGCACTGAGCGTGGGAGCACCCTCTGCAGCCATCTGCACCTTCCATCCTCCCATGGCTCTCCACATGGCCCACTCGCTTGAGCTCTGGAGGAGCTTTTGGACTGGGGAAGGACCGTTTTCATTGTAGTTAAAACTTGAGTGTAGTGTGTGGTGATCTCAGTTGTGAAAATATCAGAGAGGTCAGTTCCAAAGTCCCAGCTTCATCGTAGGAACCCCAAAGACCGCAGGAGCAGGGAGGATGATTAAAGGGAAGGAGACCGCAAGTGAAAGCAAAGGCCAAGGGCACAGGAAACAGACTGGGGAAACAGACCCCAGAAGTAGAGTTAGCGGACAGAGGAGGGAGCCCAAAGAGATCAAGAGAAACACAGGAGATGATACAGAAACTCAAAGTTGGGAAGAATAGAGCCGTGGAGGAGAAATAAGGGACTTGTTTTCATTAAGGACTCTCAGCTGAGCGAGTGACCTCAAGCTCAAGGGCACACCCCCCCGCCCCGCCCCACGCACCCCAACACACACACACATACACACACATTTCCTTTCTGCAGCTAGGAGCCCCCCCCCCCCCAGGCCAAGGCCACAGGACCCGTGGTGCCTTTGTACTGGGTGAGCCAGCACCAGCACTAGCAGGAGCAACAGCAGGAAGCCTGCTGCCCTTGCCCAGAGCCTCAGGACATCCCGTGATCTAGGCAGAAATGGATCCAGGAATTTCCCTTTGGGAATTTTCTCTCAAATCCTGGTAGAGTCCTTTCTGTAAGGGTCTTCCCTGTTCTCTCAGACCTCCTCCACCAGCCCCTGTCCGCACACAGTAGGCTCTGCTCCCAGTTTGTCTTTGGTGACTCCCTACAGCCTTAGCCCATGGACCCCCAGGGAAAGACCACTGCCCCACTTTTCCTTCCTCCAGAGCACCTACTAAAGGAAATCCCAGATGCTGATCTGCATCCCTCCACTTCTTGGCCCTGAAAACAAAGTGGTGGGGGTAGATGGAAGGAAGGGAGAAGTGAGCAGGAGGCCAACTTGTAGGGGCTCAGAAAAGACCCTGCATTTACCCCTCTGTCCCAGCCCCCAGTCTCTGCAATTGCTGAGGCCAAGAAGCCCAGGAACTTGGGAATGCTGCAGCTTGTGTCTCACATACCTGCATACCTTCCCCAAAGAGAACAGCACCCAGAAGCCCCACAGGGGCCCTTTCCTAAGGTCAAGGGCTGGGGGGCTTCAGACCCAAACCCATGGCTCAAATGAGGAAACCCGCCCAGCCCTGCCAAGCCAGGTCAGACTCCCACACTCTGCACCACCCACCTAAGGGAGGGCTCTTTCTCTCCTCTTACTGGCCAACCACCCCAGAGTGGGGGTTGGGAGAATGTAGCATTCAGTTCAGATTTGGGCCATGGAAGGACACCACCTTTAGTGTGGCCTCCCAGAGCCAAAAGGCAGGCTCTGTCCTGCTCTGTGACCTTCTCCCAGGGTGCTTTAGACAAGGACTGCCCCCAGACCACTCCATCCCATTGGGCTGCCGGCCTGCAGTCCTGTCATTCACCTCCCCAATCCAAGTCCTTGGGTTCTCCCAGCGCTGGATTCCTCCTGTAGCTCTGCTGCGGCTTCTCTCACCCACTCCTTTAGTACCACTGTTCATATTATATTCATCTCCCCCAGGTTACAAATAAAACATAAGGTTTTATAACCATTGAAGCAATTCAAAGATACATGGGGGGGGGGGGTTGATCCTCCTCCACTAACAGATGTTAATAGGTGGATGTGTATTCTTCAACACCTCCCCCCAGGTGTGTGTAAACATATATTGACATATACCTATGGGAGGTGGGAGTTTTTTCCATTGGGATATATTTCTTTATGGCCAAGTTATTCAAGATCAAAAAATATAACTAAACATACCACCTTCTTTTAACAGATATATAATATTTCCTAGAATGCCATAATTTAATGTTCCATCTACTTATGGGCATATAGGTTTTTCAAGTTTTTTTTGTTTTGTTTTTTCTCCCTTTTTGTACTCTACATATATTTTGTCATGAATATTCCTGTTCAAACACTATTCTGTACCACTCTGTACTCGTTTTTTTTCCTTCAATAGAATAGAGATTCTCAAAGTTGGATTGTTGGACAGAACCTATATGTATGTGTGCTTTAATTTAAAAAGATGTTGAATTACATTCCCAAAGAATCTAGAGAGTCCATTTCCCTACACCCTCATCAACATTCATAACAATTTTGTCGTTGTTGTTGTTGTTGCTTTTAATCAACCAGCAGGTGACTTTGTCACTTTCTGGAAGGCCAGCCATTCCTGAGACTCACTTTGGATTCTATGGATCCCTTTTGGATTCTGATGGCCACCAAGGTATCCTCCTGAACAGGCAGGAAAGGTCTGGCTAGACTTTGAGTCCTCCTCCCCAGAGCAGTGGCTAGGGCCCCACAATTAGTGACTTTTTTAAAAAAATACTTTTCTCTTTTTAGTTTTCAGTGAAACTTTATTTTATTTATTTACATGTGTCAAGTGCTCCACCACTGAGCCACAACCCCAGCCCAATCAGTGCCTTTTATTCAAAGGCAGGAACAGTTCTCCTGGAACCATCACTAATCTGACATTGCTGACATGGATGTGGGAGCTTAGGGCTTGTGAGTGAAGGCTGATGAGGTAGGGCTCAGCTGAAGCCCGTCAGCATGCCAGCTCCGTGGGTCCGTGCTGAGGCTGTGATCCCCTGGCCTATCTGCAGAGGAGGGCAAGCGATGGAAGGAGGCAGTACAGGAAAAGAAAACAGCAGCCTAGAGCAGTAACTGCTGGATCTTTCTTTCCCTTAATCAGTAAGAATAAGAAGC